TAGTTCCCATGTTAGAAATTAGGCTTAGAAAGGTGATTTTTTTAATCTTTTATTTTAATCCTTGAACAAAAGCCGACATTGCCAACGACTACGTATGAAAACATAATAAAGCGTTAGTGAACTTCCTATTCGTCCAAGCAAGGGAACAGCAATTTGAACGCTCTCGTGGGAGGGAAGATGACATTTCAGATTTACGCATTTGCCACGATCAAGGACAAGTATGAGAAGTATAGTGAGCATCAAGCTTCGTATAAAAATCTGTATAAAGATGCGTAGATATAGGACAAGAAACGTTCTAACATATCTGCGAATTTTGTGAATCCGTTTCCAGTACTACGCTAATTGACTAGGATGCTGGTACTGAAACAATGATACAATATACTTGATGTCAACTTATATTTTTTAAGTATCTTCTCTCGGTACAAGCTGAACAAAAAAACCGCCAATACCTTAATCAAAAACGAGGATATAAGCGAGTAATTGGGAATGTCCAAAACTATTGCAACGCTCTGCACGAAGCTAGGCTCAGAAGGGGTGTCTTACCTGTAGCCCTATAATCGGGTTTCATCTGCTGTCTCAACATAGATAGGTTGACGTAGGCTCCCATGGCGGCGTCCAAGGCATTGATTCCATCCCAAGGGGCACCCCCCGCATGGGCGGGTTTGCCGTCGTACGTCACGAGAAGCTTTGAGAAGTTTTTACGAGAAAACAAGCTCTTGAGCGATTTTTGACTCGATCAATTTTAATCGCCTACCACAGCTAAATTTGCGCCGTGTTTAAAACAGCAACTAGAACAACAACAACATTAGTCTGGGCAAAAGTTAAATTTAACTCGTCGATTTCTACTGAGAGGAATTCGCCTTATAAATTAATAAATAAACAGCGCCCTTTGTTTCTGGCTTTTTATATGCTTCTTTTCTCGACATTATAAATGACGCTACGTACGCAACATACGCACACTCTTTTTTGTCTGAAACTGGGTGCTGTATATTTTAATCATTCAATTAAAAAAACACTCCTGGAAAACTTTTGCACGTCAAAACTTTATCGCATTCTCACGAGTTTTCATCATTCATGAGCGATGCGTCAAGTTGGATCATTTGACGTCCTTCACCAAGCGTCTCCAGTTATATTGGCGGCCTAGAGACCATGACCTTATTGTCCAACTACATGTTTACGATAAAGCAACACTAAAACCGAGGCAGCCGCTTCGCGTGTATTTTGTTTACGACATCGCAAGGTCTGTTATTTTCAAAAGCGTTTGTGCGGGAATCGTCGTTATTGGCGACGTTTTGCAGCGACTGCGGTGCTTGTACATCGTGCGGGGTGGCAAGCTAAAATGTAACACAAACAAGTTACTCGATAAACTTAGCGTTGAGCGTTTCCCGGCGCACCGAGACATCAGGTGCCAGTGTATTTTTTGCGAATTTGATAAATTTCGAATGGCGCATGATAATGTGTGTACTCTGTGTGCGGCAGAGTGTGCAGTACCTCCTCTGGCACCCCAGAATTCCTTTCCGAGACGCGGCAAAGGACCGAAAAAAGTTTTATGTAGAGGTGTACGAATATTCGCAATTTTCGAATAACGCATCGAATATACGCTATTCGATTTGTTCATCGAATTGAATAATAATTTTCGAAAGTTTCGAATACTTTTTGAATAATTTCCGAATAGTCTTTATTGAGTCGCGCAGCGAAATTCTATTTCAGGCATCCCACAAAGCGCCGATGCGAATGCCATATATACGTGCCGCAAGATGGCCGTTGCATGTGCGGCGCGACAATATCTGGCAATTGCCGCGACCCAGGTTGCAAGCGAGAGACTGTTCTTGACGTGCTCGAACACTCTGAAAAGCCCACGAGAGTCTCTTGCACCAGAGCAGGTGAAAAAGTTTGTTTTCTTGCATGAGAACTGTCTACATTACAACTGTAATTAGAACTGTCTACATTACAACTGTAAGTACTTTAAGCTGACGTAACAAGCCTTCCCATTTTCTGATCTACGTAAATAAGATCTCTAGTGCACTGTATCACCTCACTCACATATGGCTACAGCTACTGAAAACAAACCTAATAAAGTATAAGATTTCTCTTTTTTTTGTATCCCACGAATTCTGGTTTTATGCTCAGCATCCGCGTGAAACTAGATATTATGTTCAGCATTCTAACGATTTAGTAGCTTTTTTCTCTATTTATTTATGTATCGTAGAACTCTATTCACTATCGTCTAGCCGCAGTATTACAGGGATTTTAAGAAACATTTTGGAACAATAAGCTAATTTTATAATCTACTTTTCTTCAGTAGCAGTTTACTTTCTATTCGAAAATTATTAAAAAATTATTCTATTCTTATTCGTATTCGAATCGGGGCAACAATTATTCGATTCGTTTTCGATTCGGTTTCAAAGATCACTATTCGCACACCCCTAGTTTTATGTATTGTGTTTTAGTATTTTTTTTTACGTTTTACATGCAAGCACAGACACCGAAGAAATATAATCGATGATTATGCGAGATATTCTGCGTTTGTGCATTGTACCTTCTTGAAATTTTGACGGAGCTCTCTACCTCCGTGCTAGGTATGGATATGTAATGGTGTCGTTATTCGAGTCAGCCGGTCGTTATTATAAAGTAGCAACGTCAGGATCACGTGTGCGCCTTTGTTCTATATCTAGTAACATCTGAATTAATTTTCCGTTATTCTGATTTGTTTTTATTCTTACTATGTCACTGTGGTACTTCTTTGTATCGTGATTTCCCTCACGAAATCTCTAGGGGAGCCGCGGTGTGCAACTATATTTACTCAACGCGATAAAAAAAAAAAAAGAAGACGAGGGCGTAATATAAATTACACCACGTTGTTTACGCTGCAGGTATAATAATTTACTGTTGTTCACTGCTATCACAACCATATTCATGTTATACCTCTACTAACGATTTAACTTGGATATGAAAAATACATCACCACATTAACTTTCATTCTTGTATTATGAGGGACGTCGAAATCACCATCACTAATCGTTCAAGTAGAAATCGCAATTTTTTCGTAAAACAGTTCAGGAGGAGTAAGAAACAAAAAAGATATATGTAAACGACGTGTTTTTGGCAGGCTTAATATTTCGCGATTTAGGTCAAAGTTGAAGTTTTGGAATAATTCGCGGGTTCTAATTTTGGGACCCAGTAGGTACTCAATATAGATTCCAATGTGTTTACCAATTTACCGTAATTATTCGCGGAAACTATTTTTCGCGAATTGTAGCGGATTTGCGAAATTCGCGAAAATGAGGTTCTCGCAAAAATTAAATCTTTTGGATATTGGAATGTAATTAATCGGGTGGAACAAAACGAAACATTGTAGGAAATGTTTTGAATATTTACGTAAGCCTCACGAATATGGCATTATGTAGTGAATGTGAAACCGCTCGTTTTAGTGATACTTGTTAATAAATTATGCCGTTGAAAGACAAATTGTATGTGTAATAGTTGAGCCGAATGGCAATAAACGTCGTGATTTCTTGGAACCATACATTGCACCAAATAGTTAAACAGAATGGAAATTTTGGCGCGTATTTTATAAGCAGTACTAAGCACCCTGTTATTGATGCACATCTCATGATCCCACAAACGCCAGATTCAATGCCAAATTGCGCACTCTTTTATGGTAATTCATAAAGATACACTAACGTAGGCACATCAACACTCCTCTGCTGGCTATTACGAATTAATACGAGAGCCGTACACAGTAGAGAGTAACACTCAGAGGCTCCACAACATGAATAGCACATGAAAAAGAGCGCACAAGGGGCGGGACAATGCATAAAACATCAACGGTTTCCTTCCACTCCCATTCTCCTCTTCTTTGTGCGCTGTTTTTCAACATGTCAATACCAACTGTCCCAACTCACCACGTTGCCTCTGAAGCACCTAATATCTTGAGAATGTGCTTATTCAAGTCTGTTATGGAACTCGCTTTACCGGACGCGAAATTTGTTCTGATTATATTGTCTTCGTTCGACCATTTTGATTTTGGTAAAGCATAAATGTTTTGTTGTAAATTAGGGGCGGTTACTGGAACAAAGCACAACCGGTCGTGGTTCGCAAAGAAATCAATATATATTATAAATATGAATTCGTGTTTTCTCATAAACGAAACAAAAATATCTGAAATAAACTCGCCCGTAAAATTTCCGTCACTTCAGAAACTCATAATTTGGAGTTCCCAACCCGAAAACAAAAAGCAAAAAAAGAAAAAGACGGAGTTTCACAAATAAAACTGAAACGACAACACGATTAGTGGTCCTTTAGGAGAAGCCACCTCAGTTTCCTTTTAAATGTCGTACTACTGACAAGTGGGGGTTTACAGATTAGCTCGTCAGGTTCGTCAATAAAAACAGGTTTCGGCACAACTGAGTCGGCAAAAACCATTCTTTATGTTTCCAGTTTGGACCATACTATTTGTGTTTTTTAGAGGAAGGATGAGTAGTGATGAAAAAACGGAGAGAGCTATGAATCCGTAGATTCTAATGCAGGGGGGGGGGGGCAGCTAAAGCTGATAAGCTTCCCAATGACTACGGCTAAGCATCCAGATATTTTAAATAATCGACCGTTATTGAGGTAACACTTCTCTGCAATAATTGTCGTAGAATACTAAGTATTGTCAATGCCCAGGGTGCCAGTGCCATATGCAGCTGCAGAAATATCATTCGAATCAGGTGGGCGTTCATAAATTTAGGGTATGTTTGTGTCCGTGCTTTATTTATTGTGTTTATGAATATAAAAAAAAAGATGAGAACAAAATTAAGATTAAACTCTTAGTTTGAGAAAAATCGCAGTCCAAAAAATTGTATAAACCTCCAATGTTTAGCAATAAATGAACTCGAAAATCGTCCGTCCTCCCAATTTAACTGGAAATAAACTAAAACAAACAGAATGACAGTTATAAACCGCAAATAAAGTTGTTGGAGCCTAGTGACCAACGGCATCAGTTCTAAAAGGTTTACCTGACCCAGAGCACCGGTAGCAGGATCTGAAATGTTTTTCGTGAACGGATGCGCCATTAACGCGACGTCCGCACCGTCGAAGGCGCCGTCTCGGAGGAGGTAAACCTTTCCTTCACCTTCTTCTTCTCCTGGAGTGCCAAGCACTACAACCTGGAAAAGGTTTCCAGGTGTAAAACATGTTAATACAAATCGGTTCCTTTATGCAAACCTGAGTTTTTGATTCACGGAGTGCCTGATTTTCAGCTTCATTTTTCTTTCAAAAGAAAGAGTTATTCGCAAAGAATAATTGCCAGAAAAAACACAAATTTTCTCCGTGATTAGACAATTGCTGGAAATCAAACCTTTACGAATAAGACCTAAATATGCAGTAGGTTTTTTTGTTTTGGCATGTACTAGACTGTTACGACATAGGCTATAAATGGCTAATACTGGCAGGCTATCTCATTTTATGCTAATGACTGTGAAGTGGATGACGCTTTCATTGGTTTACCAAGCATATAAAATTAACCCTACGCTGTGTGCGTTTTTAGTCAGTAACTTCGCAGCATTGGTAACTGAGCACATACAACTGTCTTGCTGTCTGCTAGACACCAAATAACACGATATACCATGTTGCTTGTATTGTAACTTGCGGAGCTCCACGTGTCAGCAATTTTTTGCGATCGGTTCCTAATGGTGAGGGAATTCACTCCCTCTTGAACACGTGTGTACAAATAGCGGTCATTAAACTCGCCGACCTACTTTCGCTCCCGCGACAGCGGATACGTTTTGTCGGAAGGGGGATTTGAAGAAAACCAGAGTTCGCATCATGGCGCGTAAACGTTATTGCTCATGCCAGCTCAGATTCTATATCTTCCTGCCCGCTTATTATATAGTGTTCGAACTTCTGAGCTACATGCTCCGTCGACCGAACGAGCCGAATTGACTTACAACCGTGATAATTGTGTCATAGGCGTCGAAGAGATTGCATTTCTATGACATGTAATAGGCAAAGAAGGCATCAGGCTGTCCCATCGCTGATCAAATGAGTGTTGGAACTGCCAGCGTCGGACGACAAGCAAGCGGTTCAACGATTGCTACGCGACGTCAACTATTTCACCAAGTTTTTACAGTCCTTGGCTCAGAGAACAACAGTTCTGAGAAGTTTGATCAAGTAAGGCACTGCGTTAGAATGGACGGCCAGTCACGCGATGGAATGGAAGCAACTGTTTGGCAGCCTATGCAAGCAGCCGCTGGTTGCAGTATTCGATTCCCAAAAGCAACACAAGTTTCACGTAGTGCGTCACTAAACGGCATCAGAGCGGCGTTGTTGCAGTAGCACAACGACACGTGAAGGCCGGTTGTATAAGCTCCATGAACACTCACGAAAACACATCAGCCATGCTCGCAAATAGAAAATGCGACAATGGCGACCGCGTTTCGCTATCAAGGATTTAATCACTTTGTGTACGGCCGGAAGGTTTCCGTCGAGACAGATCATCGCCCTTTTATTGCTATCTTGCAAAAAGCGAATGGCGACATGCCGCCAAGGTTTCTTTCTACGGTTGCTGCGTTACGACATTAAAATGAAATTTGTTCCAGGTACGCAACTCCTCCTGGCCGACATGCTGTCATGACCAAGGTCAGAGGCGACACTGGTTACGGCGACGACTACGATGACATAGAAGTACACGTTGTAAGTGCGGTTTCTTCCGTCGTCTGCGACTCCACATGGAAGCAGTCGGCTACAGAAACAGGTAACGACGAACCTCTAAAACGTGTGCTTCACGACTTCGAAACAGGAAGCCTTGTCCAAGACCAGTGGGGATACTGGGTGTCACAAAAGATATTTACTGAGGCTTTCATTTCCGCAAAAATAAACTGGGCATCGCCGAGCGCTCATTCTCTGCCCGAAACTAGCGCTAGACTTTATCCAAAAATTATGTGATTTCCTGAAAATTTCAATGGGAAAATGGCCGCCGACGGAGTTTTGGAATACATGGAGCTCTATGGGCAGCAGAAACCGAAAACGGGCAAAAATGGGCTCCATTTTCCCATTGAAATTTTCGGATAATCACTTTTAACTTTTGCGTCTACAAATAATATAGTCAACATTCCTCACACACCGGACATTGTGCTCTACGCCGATGATACAAACGTATTTTTTTCTGGTGCCAACATAGATGAACTTGAATCACTCGCGAATGATTGGATGTTAGAGTTAAGTGCATGCTTCACATGTCATGAATTGGAGCTAAACACCGAGGAAACGAAGTATATGATATTTCTAGCAAACAATAAAAGTATTAATTGAGAAATGAACCTACGATTTAGAAATAGTGAAATAAATATGTAAAAGTTCACAAGTTTTTCGCTGTATACTGTCAAGAAAACCTAAATTGATCTTATCGCATCGATCAGATCCGGCCCAACATCTCTCTGTCAATAAACATTATAAATAGGCTCAAAGATAACATTCCGGTTTGGTTGAAACGACAGTTATACTTTATTCTTGTTCACTCTCGTTTAATTTACTGCAGTTTGGTATCGGGTACGTGCTCACAGACCTGTATATCCAAGCTGCTCATTCTACAGAAAAGAGCAGTACGGTCAATTGCCAATATTTCATATAAGGAGCACTCTAGCCCATATTTTATCAAGTGTTCTCTTCCTACGGTAGAACAATCACTCATTCAAAAACTGGCAATTTACATATTTTACAAAATAAAAGCACACCCATAGTTTGTACATGAAAATTACATTAACAATGCATCAATATACTCATTTCGCCATACCCACTACACTCAGTCCAGGGTACGCACAAACTACGGCAAACAAAGGATACTTGATCAGATCGCCACAGCTATTAAACAACCACCCTAAAATACTGTCCATGATAAATGATTCCAGCACAATATACACATTTAAACGAACACTGAAAACGTATCTTTCAGGTATAACATGACTTATTCAAGTTTCCGGCCACATTTCTTTTGTTATATCACTGTATCTCAGTGTAATGTCAAAATGAGTATTTGATTGTTTTTTCCTATGTTTCTGTACGTTCTGCTGCTGACTGTACAGGGGGCTGAACCCTTTTCAGGCGATTTAAATCGCCTTTTGCCCCATTCTCCTAGACATTTATTTGAATAAAGAATATTATTATTATTATTATTATCAGGTCCTTCATGGTCACCACCTTGTGTAATGCCCTTAACCAGTCCTTAAGGTTAAATAAATGAATGATTGCACATAGTCAAACAGAACGTAAGAGGGGTCCATTGGTACCCCTCAATCTAGGAGGCACCGACCGGATCAACCACGGGGCATGTACAACCAAAGCCCAGGTTCTGAAGTCTTCCGGGCATCCTAGATCATATAACGCCATCACATCCGACGGCCAATTGCTGTGGCGGTATCGACAACACTTGCAGCCGACCAAAGAAGCATTGCACTCTGACACTGCTCGCAACATGCAGAGAGCATGACACGCACAAAAGTGAAACGTCAGCTTCAGCCTCAAATGACACACCGGGACAAACTTGATCAACAGCAAAAGGTGATCCGTGTTCCAAGACGTGCGTCACCAACCTCAGCCCCAAGAAGGTCGCTGAGGCAGCGTTGCAGCGATTGGCATATGATCGGAACTTTGCCCAAGTGCCTTGAACTGCTTGCTGCAATGAGTGCTCTGCTTTATGCTCTGACCCTAAACTATGGTTTTCTGATTCTTTTTTATAACAGTGATCTTTGTTTTGTTTACAAGCGTTGTGTTTTGTTCTTATAAACAAAGGTGGATGCATCGTATAGTGAGCAGCGCCCTGCGTCAGCACTGTTTCGCTATCTTTTTCTCGTGGTGAGGGGTTTTCACTCCCTCTCCCACACTTGTGTATAGATAAAGATCAATAATCTCAGAGGCGCACTCCCCCCGCAAACAGCTCGTCGTGTTTTATCGGCCGCAACAGCCGATATAGTGCTAGTGTAATGCATAAAATTAAATCAGAAAACAACTTGCCACAAATGCACAGTATCGATACCGCGTAGCCTCATTTTAACTTGAACGACTTATCGCTAACCTAGAGAGACACATTTTGCTAGTAATATTTTATTTTCAACGCAGGCTGCTAGTTTTTGTTGTATAAGAAGAAAACAATCTCTCACCTTTCCGGAGAGAGAACAGTCACTTTTAAGCGCTTTTTTCAGGGCGATTCCGGTTGCTACAGCGCACTCAGCGATGAGGTTATGGCCGCAAGCATTCCCGATCTCCGGAAGTGCGTCGTACTCACGCATAATAATGACCACTGGCCTTCCATCTGTTGTGAAGATGGTGCGGAACAATATAGGTTTCGGCTTTTGATGATTATATCTTTTATAATTCCCTAGTTTCACAGTCACGGACAATAAAAAAAAAAAAAACGGCCGAGCGAGTTGCTCAGAAGCCCTGCAGTGCTATCTATCCGAAGAAAGCTCCAACATCATTGAGGCTTCAGCCGCTGTCTAATTTGTCGTCGTCACTCTCACTTTATCGGCTGTTGCTGAGTCAGTGCTAATTTGTTGTGGCGTTCCGCGACAAAAGCTGAAATTAAGCGCGGCTGAAAATACGGGGCCGGCAAGTTGAGCGATCAGTTTGTAGACTTTTTCTAATTATTTTGCGAACAAAAATGAGTATAAGCGTTCTGTTTTTCTAAATTGCACCGCACCTCTTTGTTGAAATCTGCATTTCTCTCTTTGATTCAACTTTATAAATTTAACAAAAAAAAGATCTCAATTTTTTAGTCTACGATCTTATGAAGCAACACGCCGTGACTGCGCGCTCAATTCTAGGATACCTCGTTCTCGCATTTTGTATTGGAACGCCGAAACCTTGATACGAAAATAGCGCCGAAATAGGTGCTGATTCAGCAATCGTATATGACAAAAATTAAACAGCCGCTGAATAGTTTGTCGAGCGCACAACACCATGATGATAGCTAAGATTTCTTACATGATGTAGCACTGAAGGGCTTGGGAGCTACGCCCTCACCTGGGCTTTTTTTTTATATCGTTCGCGACTGCACGCTACATTCAAAAATAAGATTTATCGGTAATCAATAAAAGCTTCCGGTAAAACAAATAATATTTACGATGAACTCAATATTCGCTAGACTAGCATGCGAAAATTATCCTTACAAAGTCATGTGTTACGGTTACAATATGAGAAAATTTGTTGTTATTTGGAACGCAACAACAGTATATTTCATATATCTCTATTCACCACGTAATAAGCGTGGTGGAGGCTGAGAAAAAAGTTGTCCCAACAGCTTGATTGGTCCCTACTACATGCAGAGTGCAGTGCCAAAACGAGAGGGAAAAAAAACGCGTTTCTCGAAAAGGAAGGCCAAATCGCTCCTCCACAAATACGCATTGCAGAGAAAAAAGGTTGCTCTCCTGTTGATTTTTACCCAAGGGACTATTTTGAAAAATAATTAACCTTCGTTATATTGAGGTTCCTAATTACTTTCCAGCAATTACCTTTTCAGCAGTAAATTTTGATGTATGGATTTAATAAGAAATTTGTAGGGAATTTTTGAAAGCCACTAATTAAGTTCCCCTCAAAAACATAGAGGGCATCCAAAACGGTTTCCGGCTTTTCAAAAAAAAAAAAAAAAGTCCGATTAGCAGGCGTTTTTAGGTTTCGTTTTTCTGTCAGAACGTGTCTGAGAGTCATCGGTCCTGCTAGCCGTAGCCAAAAAGTTCCACTAAAGCTTCGCCTCAATCGTGGAAAGAAGATAGCGTACTTGACGTATTCCGGCGAAATGAAACGTATTGCTTCTCGAATGACAACACAAGAATAAGCTTTGATATTTTAGTTCACCTTCAACTTGCTAAGAACGCGTGGCGGCGCGTGGTAGTTGAGAGCTTGGACAACCGGGAAGCTGGGCAGCTCTTCAGAGAACAGTTCTTATAAGAAACCGAAACTTCAAAACCAGTCCAAAAAAGGCGGTTTCTGGAAACGCTGCAAAATTCTCCGGATTCCTTATACTTTCGGAAGGTGCCCTGATTTCCTGTTCTTCAATGATGCTCACAAAGTTTCTAATTTAAACTATACCATTAAACTTGAAAATTAAATGTTAATTTAATAAGTAATTCAGAAACTAATTACATCGAATGGTATCAGTTTGTCAAAATGCAATATGGCCGAAACCAATCAGTGTGATGGGAATATTTTGCCAGAGGAATTATGCCCACATAAAAGAAAACAGCCCATATAATAAATTGCATTTCGTTCATAAAAATGAGTTTTAATCAATATAATAAAAACAGTGGATATTGTCAACATTAAACAAAAAATATCTGCAAATACTTAACGAAAGCGTTATCATTTTTGTTTGTTCACAATTATTTTAATTCATGCATGACTGCCAAGAACATCAAATTCTGCGGGGACACAAAAATACAGTTTTGAGGATCGTTCTAAGGAGCGTGAAATTTTGCCGCGATATAAAACGCACAGTTTTAAGAACAGCTGTTTTTGGTACATTTAGACTTCTTCCTCACTCATGCCGAAGTCCAATTCAGCCTTTTGTCGGGGATATTAGGTTAGGTTAGGTTAGGTTAGGTTAGGTTAGGTTAGGTTAGGAATCCAACAAATCGCAATAACCACCAGCATATAGCGTGATGGCGCCAAGTGTGTAACCATGTCTAACAGTTCAGCTTTCTGGTGAAATGCGAGGTTTACAACGATAGGTGTCCAAGTTGTAAAGTTGTGCAGTATTTATAGCAGTCTCACGATGATATACGGCAGCTTAATGCAATGTTAGAGCGCATTACTGATAAAGCACAGTTGTAAAATGAGGGCCCAAACAGGTGTATGTAAAACCGAATATAACATTAGCCTCCCCAATATAACATTAGCCCCTGCGAAGTTTTAAGCTCATGCAAGCTCATAAAACGTGATTTACATTAGAATTTTAAGAGCCTTTGTCTCTCTTTCGCAATATTTATGTATAATTAGAAGTATCATTGCATGCGTCTCTATGTATTTTGTTTTATACTAAGGCGCATTGCGCAAGCGACTATTTAAAAAAATACAATGTGTTATATCTTTCCATGTGCACATTTCGTGTATTTTTCCTATGATCTATCATTTGAGCACAAGGTCCTCTTTGGCATACCCGGCAACCCGATGTTTCACAATGCCAATCAGCGTTTTGAGTATCATCCTCTCGTGTCGGTCTCAAGCGGTTTTATGAAGTTCATAAAGAAAAATTTATAAATGATAACAAAAATATACATAACTACGGACTGAAGATCTCACAACAATTGGCCGATCAGATTAAAAATGTACGTCATAAGTGAATGCACCCCCAAATTATCTGAAAGACGCTCTGCAAATATTTTCCGGCGTTTTTTTGTTTTTTTCCTCGATAGGCAGGTCATAAGTGGTTCGGGAGACTTTTAAACAAATTTCTGATTTTGAAGCTAATTTAAATAACTGCGTGTTTCTGATACAAATAACTTCTCAAACAAATAGAAGTCTGATATTACCTCTTTTATGCGGTAAATATAGCTTTTATGGGTCTGTGAGCTGGACAAAACAAAGTACACGGGCGCGCGTAGCGGAGCTTTCACTATTACGTACGCAAACCGTCTGAAGGTGACCAATTAGGTAGCTGCAATGTCGACTAAAGTATGAAATACTACTTTTATTTGACAACAAATTATCAATTAGCAAGAGTGATACTTATTTGCAAAGTGAATTGACCGCATATTGTCAAGAACAAACCTCAAGAGCCAGGTTATGCCAGCTATGCCAGTTTATATTGTATAAGAAAATGTCCACTTCGGCAAGCGCCATTTTAGGGCAAATTCGATCCGAGTGGGAAGGCACTTCTAAATTGTAGAGAACAATGACGATCACTCATTTCTGCATGATTCGTTGCCTGCATCACGGTGCTGAGTGTAAACAATGTTTAGTTAGAAAAACAAGCATTGCGATTTAGAGAAACACCTTCAATGTTTCTCTAAAAGACAGACTGAAGCTTGTCCTTATAATTTAGTGACATTTCGAAAATTTTATTGCTTTTAGCTCAGCTGTGTCGTCATAATATATATATATATATATGGGTGGTTTCATCTCAAATCGTGCAGGCAAAAAGGGTCGAATTTTTAATTTTGATGAAAAAAATATATGTTATGCCGCCGTTTCTAAAACCGCAGTCGACACAAACCGCAAGTTCGTTGGATTTTTTCTTCTCGACTTATGAATTTTTAAAGAGGCCGCGGTGAAAAGCAGTGTTTTTCACACCCGTCGTGGGTCGGATGTTTCGCTTGATCTCCCGCCATGGATTTTCAGTCCACATTATATTATCTTCTTTGAAGCACTCTGTGGACACATTTAAAAGGCTCCAATACCATGAAATAATTTTAGGCCTTTTGCTTTTTTTCTGTAAAAATGTCAAAAACGCCTCCTCGGTCAATTGTTGACGAACTTTGACAATTAATTACTGGCGATCTACTTGGGTTACACTGATATTTTTTATGTCCACGGAGAGCCCAAAACACGCTCTTTTTATTTATTATAAAATGACTTAGCTGCATAAAATATCCTTTGCGGTACGTTTACGTTAATATTATGCAAAAACCAAAAAGTACCATTTTTGAAATTGATTTTCTCAAAAAACCCATTTTTTATTTTTTTTATTTTTTGTTCAACTGTAGATATGATAGTTCTCTACACGAAAATCAAGCCTAGAAAGTGTATATTTTGTTTGCATGTTTTATATTTAGGCCTCAATATCGGAAAAAGACGTCTTTGTTTTGCAAGACCTAAGTCAGACTTAGCGACCCATGCGTCTCTATGAATTGTGAAAAAGTTTTCTTGAATTTTCTTCTGCATTTTGTAATCAATTATAAACGGATTTTGCGATATTGAATGTTTATGTATGTTTTGATAAGAGCGGGAACCATGAGATACATATCTAACCAAATCAGCAGGCCTAGTAGACTTTCAATAACAGAAAGGCAAAGACGTTGTATTGTTTCGATTTATAAACCTTTCAAAGTAAACTAGCACGACTAGCTATTAGCTGTCATATTACTAAGACAAAGAAAGTCACCACATCGTCGATATATTATATACAATTCTTTACGAAACCAAACACTGGAGCTTGTTCACCGCACATCGCACAGGTCACCAGGGAATGTCCTTTCACTTCCGTAATGCACAAAAGTGGTGACACAGAAACGGTCCGAAACACACAGAGAGTGTGTCATGGAGAGGGGTAGGAAATCAAAATAAATAAATAGGAATTAAATTGCCCATCTCCATATC